GGTTAACAACAAACTTAATCTGGAAGGTAAAACAGGCCTATTTCAGGCAGTAACCCTGGGTTCTCAGGCGGTTATAAAAAAAATATTTAAGAAAAGTCAAGAAATTTCAGCTNCCCCTCCCAACTTCAGTAATGAAAAACCTACAGCTATTAATGATTCTATATGGTCCAAATATTGATAATCTGACTTTACAATTATGATTAAATACTAATCTAATGATGAAAAGTTGGAATAATGGAGAATCTAACAGATATCAATAAATCTAGTTTGGATAATAGTTCTAATTGGGCTTAATTGAGCTGGCTGGCCCCAAAAGTATATATTTAATCAAGAATGCAATAAAAGAATTAATATGTAATAGAAAATTCTATTGTAGCTTTCTTGATTGGGTCGAGTTAGTTAATCGTTTTTAAACATTAAACCTTCCTTTTAGCAAAACCTAAGGGTCAAAACTAAAATAATGGTATATTAAGGGCCATTAAAGTGTAATTTTCAAAAATCCAGCCGCGTCATGCAATATTTATATATTTGAATCTTTATATTTCAGTGTCAATATGAAATATAAGGATTATTCATTAAAAACGGTAAAACTTCATTTTTGAAAATCTAAATTCTCATTTTTCTAAAAATGGCTTATTTTTTAGACTCACAATAAAATACACTTTAGCTATATTTTACCCTTGTGTGAAAATGTCCAATGTGAAGAGAAAATTGAAAAAAAAAATGTTGTTTTGATAAAATCTGTAACACGTAAGCGATCACAGTAAATATTGTGATTTTTATTAATATTTTCTTTTTCTTCAGACTACTCTGAACAACTTGGCTCTGCTCAAGGTTGTAATGCAAGGAAAGTTAATTGCTGTCACGTATACTCTGCGTACATATTGAAACCAGTTCTCTCTGGGCGGAATTTGTTAACAAGAATAGATGCATCAGTGTTCGTTTAGTATCCCAGGAGGTTAAAAACATTAAATTTTGATAATTTTGATAATTCACATAATAGTTTCCTATGAACAGAATATTTCATTGATTTTTTTATGTAAAAGATGGATCCCATGTCAGGCTTCGACATCCGTCTTGTGTTTACATTACCGCCCAGAGACAGTACACTGTAGAACAAAAGATGCGTACACTTCTGAAATAACTTTCCTTGCATTACATCCTTGGCTCTGCTCTCACAATACGAAAAATAGCTTAGTTTATCTGCTAAAAGACTTTAAAGCAGTTTAAGAATTCTACACACAATATATTAATCTTGTGTAGAATTGAAAAAATGGTTTAAGTTGTGCTTTTTTGCGTGACGCGGCTGGATTTTTGAAAATCACACAAAATGCCCTTAATATATCATATAAAAAAGTATTTTTGCCCGGAAGAGTCAAATGTAGTGGAACGGAAGGGGAAATAGTGGTGGCTCATGGCTGCCGAAAGAGAAAAAATCTAATATGTGGCTCGGAAGGGGAAATGGTTGTGGCTCATGGCCGCCTGCCTTCCCCCGCTCGTCTTACATTGGCTTGTGAATTCTAAGATCTTTATCAACTGGTTTCCACAAAAGTGAATAAGGTATCCACTAACTTCGATATTAAAAAAATTTATGATTATTTACAATTAAGGAATTTATTTTTTATTTTGTTTATCGAGAAGATGATTGTTTTTCGTCAATTCTGATTAATGAAAGAGACAAAATCATAATTTTTGATGATGATTGTGAAAAATTATTTTTTGTCTGTAATTAATTATCTCATGCAGTATTTCACATTGACAATTTAAATCGCATCATATCAAGAGTCATGGATTAGTATAACTCGTATAACTGTAAAGTACGTTTTGTTAGTATAGAACGTACTCAACGTACACAGTGTACAGTAAATACAGTACATTGTATACATGGTGTACAAAACCTTTATTATAAATATTACGAGTAAGACGTTTGGTTAGATTTCTCTCAAAGATATCGATTTCATTAAAAGTAAACGAAATTCATTAAAAATTGACGTTAATTATGTTATTATACAGTGGTAAGCGAATACAACAATACAATTGAAACAACATTTTTATCCAAGTTTGGATTGTTTGCGAGCTTTTTCTTGAATTACAAGTTTACAAGTAATCAAAGAGAAGCTTTTTAAATTAATAGCTTCTCTTGAATTCTATGATTATGTGTATCCATGCTGTTTAACAGCTTGATTAAAATCAAAATTAAAATCGAAAATCGTCTTCATTGTATTGATATAATCGCCTACCACTGTAGTTGAAAATTTTCTGTTTACGCTATTAATTAAATTGAGATTGTTAACTGACGGTAAATTAAAAAAATTACAGAAAATATCGTTACCGAAACAAAGTTTCGTTTTTACCCTCTAAAACTAACGACTATCTGAGATTTTATTCTAAAAACGGTTGGAACTAACCGTTAACGATACGGCTTGAACAAGTTGGAACATGTTCAGCCTTAATTACAAGTTTACACGTTAACAACATAAAGCTGCTAATTGAAACCTTCTCTTGTGTAAGGATGCCATACATATCATGCTGTTTGAAAGCTTGGTAGAAATCAAAAGTTTTCTTCATAGTCTTGATATATACGATGACGACTGTATGAAGAGTGTATGAAGAGTGTGTACTAGTTTAACTTTAGGTTTTTGATATTGAGCTGGATGCAGGCCTAACTAGACACTCAGGAACTAGAGATAAAATCCAAAATTTCTAATTAATCAAAATTCCACGTGATTAGTTTGGTTAAATTTATTATGAAGATTTTGAAAAATGATTTATTTCTAAGTTGGTTTGACCTCCGGGTGTAGTCCAGTTTTTGATTTCAGGATTGAAAACAGGTTTATAATTGAATTTTTTATTTAGAAGAAATGTATGGTTCAAAACATAATTAAACGTCGCTGGAAAAATTTAATTTATTTTTTGAAATTATTGTGTTTTTATTACTCATTGTCACTTCTTGGTAAATTTCATTATATACGTGCTATAGAGTACTCATTGTGCTGTAATCTTAATCAATCTTATTTACAATTGTCTGCCCAATCTTATTTACAATTGTCTGCCCAAAATAGATGCATCAGTGTTCGTTTAGTATCCCAGGAGGTTAAAAACATTAAATTTTGATAATTTTGATAATTCACATAATAGTTTCCTATGAACAGAATATTTCATTGATTTTTTTATGTAAAAGATGGATCCCATGTCAGGCTTCGACATCCGTCTTGTGTTTACATTACCGCCCAGAGACAGTACACTGTAGAACAAAAGATGCGTACACTTCTGAAATAACTTTCCTTGCATTACATCCTTGGCTCTGCTCTCACAATACGAAAAATAGCTTAGTTTATCTGCTAAAAGACTTTAAAGCAGTTTAAGAATTCTACACACAATATATTAATCTTGTGTAGAATTGAAAAAATGGTTTAAGTTGTGCTTTTTTGCGTGACGCGGCTGGATTTTTGAAAATCACACAAAATGCCCTTAATATATCATATAAAAAAGTATTTTTGCCCGGAAGAGTCAAATGTAGTGGAACGGAAGGGGAAATAGTGGTGGCTCATGGCTGCCGAAAGAGAAAAAATCTAATATGTGGCTCGGAAGGGGAAATGGTTGTGGCTCATGGCCGCCTGCCTTCCCCCGCTCGTCTTACATTGGCTTGTGAATTCTAAGATCTTTATCAACTGGTTTCCACAAAAGTGAATAAGGTATCCACTAACTTCGATATTAAAAAAATTTATGATTATTTACAATTAAGGAATTTATTTTTTATTTTGTTTATCGAGAAGATGATTGTTTTTCGTCAATTCTGATTAATGAAAGAGACAAAATCATAATTTTTGATGATGATTGTGAAAAATTATTTTTTGTCTGTAATTAATTATCTCATGCAGTATTTCACATTGACAATTTAAATCGCATCATATCAAGAGTCATGGATTAGTATAACTCGTATAACTGTAAAGTACGTTTTGTTAGTATAGAACGTACTCAACGTACACAGTGTACAGTAAATACAGTACATTGTATACATGGTGTACAAAACCTTTATTATAAATATTACGAGTAAGACGTTTGGTTAGATTTCTCTCAATCTTAGTGAAATTGTTAGAGATGTGATCGCGGAGAGTGATTCTTTACTGCTCTGTGTATAATTATGATATTGCTTAAATTAAGTATTAATCATAAACATTACAATACACAAGGTTACTGTATAAATTAGTTCCAAAACTATATCTTTGCTAACATAACTGAGTGTTAGAAATGGGCCAAATCTGCAAAGTAATTTTTTTTCAAGCGTATACATCTTTAAATCCAAGCCGAGCTAAACAAAACTACACCTTACTTTTATAAAAAATGGCTTGAAACTATTTATTGACAAAGCAAGAAATGTCAACTTTAAACTAATAGCAAGGTGTGAGAATTAGTTTTTGATGATTCTTGTTTTCATTTTCGAATATATACCTATTTTGAAAAAATTACCTCATTTCAGCTCATGTCGCGGATTTTAAACATATCCTGATTTTGAGACAGTAAATAATCGAATTCATATTAATGTAAATTTTTACGTTTTTATTGACTTACGTCACAAGACAAGATTTTTGATAAGGTAGAATATAAACAAAATAGAAAATAAAAATATATTGTTCTTTTGTGATAAAAAACATTACGGAATTGAGAAATCAACATATTAATTTTATTTTGTTCTTGCAAAGTAGATTTAACTAGAAATGCGAGAAATTGATTGTTTTAAACGCAGGAACTAAATCAACTTTATTCTCTTTTTTAACAAATAAAATGTGAAAACTTATATTCTAAATATATTTCAGCAGTTAATTTAGTTTACTTTCAGTGATTAATTTTGTTAGTTATTAAAATGAGTTTTGTTTTGATTCTCAGATTATACTCTAAAAACGGGAAAGTTTCCCAAAAACGCGACACAAATTCAGGATATGTTTGAAAATGGAAAAGGCCAAGGGTTTTAATATAAATAGAACTCCTTTTATAACTTTGATTTAAGAAAATATCCGAAAATTAGGAATTGTTGTCCTTGTGATGCTTAATAAAATGTTGGTTTTGGTTTTTACTATCGTCTTTTACTCTCAATATGGGCCAGGATCCTAAAACCCCAGTCTTTCAATTTGTTCCCATTTTTAAACTCATAAAGTTTAGCAAAATCTTTTCTTTAATGCAGGAGGTAGGGACGGTTGTGGACGGTTGAGGACGGTTAAGGACGGTTGAGGATGGTCCAACGGCTTGAAATGGATGTAATAACATGTCTGTCCCTTCCACCCTAACCTTTACAGTAGAATTCAATTTGTTTAACATACTGTCCTTAAAAAGCTGGACTTGGGGGATGCACCCCACACCTCTATAATAGAGGTCGTTGACCTCCGATCCAAAATAGTGTTCTTGATTCGTATAGATGATCACATTAATATGCTGCATGCAAAATTTCAGCCTTTTTTATCACAATTTTTAGGACCAAATGCAGCCTGTAAATAATTTGGTGTCACAAAGTGTAAAATTGATCCCATTATTTCGGCTTTGGCCGCCGAAAATGGCCACCTTAATTCCCTATCACTTGCGGTTCTAAAAATAAAAACATAACAAAAATCTATTATTAAGTTTTGTGAAAATGACAAAATTGAGTGTTTTTAGCTTTAAAATTTCAATATAAAGGGGAAATAATAGTGATGGTGGATAACACGTCCTCCCCTCAATCCATGTTAGTCAAAAATAGCCTACTCTAGGGTTAAATCTACCCATCCCTTGTCCTTTTTAATGCCGGTATTTTTGTACAATTGTACATGAAGTCAATTGTAGTGTTCTTGGTAGTCAACTGTAGTTCTAATGAAAGTCAACTTTAGTCCTTATGGTAGTCAACTGTAGTCCTCTTGGTAGTCAACTATAGTTCTTATGGTAGTCAATTGTAGTCCTTATGGTAGTCAATTGTAGTCCTTATGGTAGTCAACTGTAGTTCTTATGGTAGTCAACTGTAGTCCTTATGGTAGTCAATTGTAGTCCTCTTGGTAGTCAACTGTAGTTCTTATGGCAGTCAATTGTAGTCCTTATGGTAGTCAATTGTAGTCCTTATGGTAGTCAACTGTAGTCCTCATGGTAGTCAACTTTAGTACTTATGGTAGTCAACTGTAGTCCTCTTGGTAGTCAACTGTAGTTCTTATGGCAGTCAATTGTAGTCCTTATGGTAGTCAATTGTAGTCCTTATGGTAGTCAACTGTAGTCCTCTTGGTAGTCAACTGTAGTCCTCTTTGTGGTCAACTGTAGTCTTCTTGGAAGTCAATTGCAGTCTATTCTGAATTCTATGATTGACGTATTCAAGGTATTCTTTAGTAATTCTGAAGCAACAACCCTGTCCTGGGAAGAAATTAAATTTAAAAAAGAAATTCAATTTAAGATTTGAAAAGATGGCCCCATATTCCTTGTTGTTTTCACAGCTTTCAGATCAGGTAAAACAGCATTATACTACCTTTTTTTCTTTTTGAGAAAATCTCAAAGATATTTTTCTTTAATATTGTTATTAAAATTGATTTCTCTGTATAGATTTTATTTCAGTACCTCTTCATGTTTTAAGTGCCAAGTCCTATTCACAAAGTAACCCAAGGACGACGTTTCTAGCTTTAAAACTTCCATTGCATATCGCAAGTGGACACATTTAAGATATAATTTGTTTTTTAAGAAATTGTTAAAAAATTACTTTAGGGCCTAATGCAGTCAGCTGTTATTAAAACTGTGGAAAATCTTAAGGTAAGTTTATTCTGCTTGGTCAAACACTATAAATGTGGATTTGGGGTTGTTAAATTGTAACAAAGCAATTAGCTTAGCTAGAAGCTTAAAAATTAACTTATGAACTAAAATGGGTTTGTGTACATTTTTTATGTTTGTTAGACTTTATAAAATGTTGACTTGGGTCAAGCAGTCGTCTTCCATTTCCATGCTTAAAATGTGAGAAATCCGCAAACCTCTCGTTGGTTTCGTGGATTTCGTAAAAACAAAAAATATTTGACTTTATGAAGGGCTAATAATAGGTGTTAAACTTTACAAGAAACCAGGCTTGGTTATTTTGACAGGAAATATCGATCATTTTCGCACTGAGAGACATCTTTAATTAAGAGTGAAGCTAGGGGGTGCTTTGGAATAAAAATGTTCAAAGCCATGTTGCACAAGTTCTTAAGTTTTCTTTGACTCAATTGACAAAAAAAATGAGGTTTTTTAATATAATCAGAATTTTCTGTATACTCTCAGTCTCAAATATAGGTGAACATGAAACAATTGTTTTATTAAGAGACCAATCGTATTGAGACAAATGGAAGTATCATGGTGGAAAGTGAACCCCTATAAACTACGGAATATGAAAACGACTGTTAAACTTAACTGGTATGACTTTAGTCCAATGCACATAAAACACATTTGCAGTGTGCACAGACCCATTTCACTTCAAGTTTTATGGGACTTACTGTTGATTCGGGTTTTCTGCCGAATATCAGCTTTATCAATTATTTGAATAAAATACATGGTTACACACAAAGGATAAGACTTCAGAGACGACTCTGTGGAATTAAGGCCAACCTTTTTTCCCTCAAAGCTTGTTTCTACCTTCAATTCTTTTTTTTTATGTTTCTTTCTATATTTTAAGTAATAATCCAATTTCAACCTTAAAATCGCTGTATGTTGGTCGTCATCAAAATCTCAATCTTTGTGGGTAACCCTGTATGATCAGGCCACATTTATACAAGCAGTTAAACTGCTAGAAGGAGAAGAAGGAGAAAATAAGGGGGCTCAGCACCAATATGGAACCTAAGGTTAGTAAGTAAAGGGTGATTAACCAAGCGGTTCACATTTTTTTCTCTGAGGCTTCCGATCTTTACCTTTCTTCAGAGCAGAGTTTACCAAATCCGGAAATAATTTTAGCACGTGTAGTTCTAATTTCCTAGAGACATGAGGAATTAATTTTATTATGATCGGATAGTAAATACGCCTCTGAGAGAAAAAAGTGTGAAGTGTTTTTTTCAACACCCTTCACATCTTTTTTTCTGCTTGTTTATTTAGTTATTAAAGTCTTATCAAGTCTTTTAAACCGTATTCTTGATTTTATTTGATTTTGTTTGATTTGAATGTAGGTTCACTTCGGAAAGAAATTGAAATTTTGGACCATGCCAATTTTGGGAATTAATGAGTTTTTAAAGTAGCACTATAACCCTTATCCCGATTGGGCTAGTTTTGTCTAATATAGATGGGGGGGGGGGTTCCAACTCCCCCCCTAAGATTTTGCTCTTAGAGTTGAGATATGGGAGTGTGATTTATGTCCCTAGTCCAACTTTTCAAGGCCTGCTTATTTTGAAAAAATTAGACCTAACTTTAATGGTTAGGGTTTAATTGAGGAATTAAAAAAAAGTTCTAAAAGTATGTCGAAAATAATTTCAAAAATAATTATTTTTACTTACTGATAAAAAAACAAATTTTTTTTTGTTTATAACTTTTATGTTTAAAAAGTAAAGAAGTTTCAGTGTTCTAATGTAAGCCGTTTTTATTCAGAAAAAAAAACACAGGGGATGGGGTGGAACCCCCCCCCCTCATCGTGATGGGGTCAACTCCCAAATTTTCCTTCAACCTGATGTGGAAGAAAGTCGTTTTTTTGAGCTCAACATTTTTTAAATTCTTTATAGTTTTTCCATTGTTTCCCTAGCATGTCCGCAAGTTACTTTTACAGAGAAACTTCAATTTTAACAGTGCAATTTAAGGAATTGAACATTGAAAGACCAACAAGGTCATGGCACTTCTAAGAACCCTGAAGCACAATGCCAAACTAAATTTACTCAGTATGCACTAAAGAAAATTAGTTGTCAAAAAGTCACATTTGAAAATGATTTTTTTAGGGTAAAAAATTGTGGCCAAGGTAATAATGTAAGGAAAGTTAATTGCTGTTGCGTATTCTCTGCGTACATATTGAAACCAGTTCTCTCTGGGCGATGTTTGTAAACAAGAATAGATGCATCAGTGTTCTTTAGTATCCGAGGAGGATAAAAGCATTTAATTTTGATAATATTTATAATTTACAAAATAGTTTCCTTTGACTAGAATATTTCATTGATTTTTTATTTGAAAGATTGATCCCATGTCAGGCTGCAGTGACATCCGTCTTGTGTTTACTTTACCGCCCAGAGACAGTACACTGCAGTACTAAAAATGCGTACACCTCTGAAATAATTATCTTCACATTATAACTCTGCTTATGGCTATCTCATTTTGATCTTGTTCAGGCAAAACTATTACGGGTACCATTGTGAATCAGACATTCCACTTATAAATGTTGGGTCAATTGAAATTATATCGAAACAGTCTGTTTAAATTAGCGGTTAACCAATTACCTGATCAAAGCTGCGAACTTTGTGTTAGTTTCTCAAATCCCAATCCATTGATCTCAATATTTTCTGTGGGCACTTTCAATCTGAGGATCTTTATGTATTCCTCCCCTGATCTAAGCTCTCTTGTAATTCCTGACTGGGTACGATTTCCATGCAGGATGAGCGAGGGAAGGCAACCTTCCCTGCACATCTTCCGAACCTTATTTTACCTATTTTCGGCAGTGCGCGTCCCAGGAGGGCTTCCGAACCTCCCCCAAACAGTCTTTCGGCAAGGATCTTCAATTTATAATCGTTAATTTCTACTTAAAACGGGACTAATATGATTATTTAATTACGGTAGTCGATCTATAGTATCCTTAACATTTGCATAATATCTGATTTTTTTTTACAGTCGCAAATAGGTAAAATGAGTTTCGGAAGCTGTGCGGGGGAGGTTGCCTTCCCTCCCTCGCAAGATATCAAATAAAGATTAAAATAATCTGCCGATTAACAAGAGATCGAGATCAGGCATTGATCTCAAGGGTTCCCAGATAAATTCTGTTTTGTTGTTAGGTTAAAGTGTTCGCAACATCAGCACCAAGTTTCTTCTCTATGGGGCCTGAAGAGGAGGTAAAAAAAACTTGTTCTTGTACAATGAAACCCTCTGTAAATTAATCTAGATAGTTGTTCTTGTACAGTGAAACCCTATGTAAATTAATCTAGACAGTTTTTCTTGTACAGTGAAACCCTATGTAAATTAATCTAGATAGTTGTTTTTGTACAGTGAAACCCAATGTAAATTAATCTAGATAGCTCAAGTCGTCTTCATCATACCGTTTTAGCTAAAATTTAAAATATGAATTCAGCTCTGAACTAGCTACGTCCATTTACAGTTCATTGAATAAAATAAGTTACGGCAAGTATTGTACAAATGTATGGGGTGTTTTGTTTTGTTTTGAGGACCAGTAAAACACACAATTCAGAATGTGACAAAATACTGACTAATCGGTTAACAATTGTTTTCTACACATGAACCCCGAGTAGTAAAACTCTGAATAACACGTAATAAAGTAGATTAATTATTGACTTCACACTCCAGTATGCCGAGTCTATTAGCGCCTCATCCAATCAGGGTTCAGTCATGTGTTTTTTGTCTATTCTGAACCAATAGGAATAGTATGGCGGTAACATCTATCTTTCTATCATCTATCCCTCCATCCCATGAGCAGCGCCTCTTCAAAACAGCATCATTGCTAAAACTGACTCTCCAGTGGGAGGCTGCTTGTTAAACAGCCCCTGGCTATCAATGCCTCCCCGTCTCAAGTTTCATAAATATGTTTTAAAATATGATATTTTCTATGTTTTTGGCTTGGGGCAAATATATATATTTGATTTGATTTGATTATCTAATTGTAATGGTAATATTTACTTCTGCTTAAACTATGGTATTCAAAGTCGCCCATGACCTTAGAAATAGCTTGTGGCATTCGACAAAGGTAACCTGATGAAGCAATAATCACAGAATAGCCCTAATTCTGCCATTTCTAAAATATGGTCTGCCATTTTTTGCTCTCAAAAAATGTTACGAATTATGTATAAATTTTAGTTTATTAAATTAAGCCATGAAAATGTCTCATTCTAAACGAAATCTTTAATATCTCCGGTAATTATGAAAGCACAAAAATTGCAGACCACATTTTGGAAATTATTTTGGAATTATTGTTTCATAAAAAAAATCAGAAGAAGCTTTTTAAATTAATAGCTTCTCTTGAATTCTATGATTATGTGTATCCATGCTGTTTAACAGCTTGATTAAAATCAAAATTAAAATCGAAATTAGTCTTCATTGTATTGATATAATCTCCTACCACTGTAGTTGAAAATTTTCCGTTAACACTATTAATCTAATTGAGATTGTTAACTGACGGTAAATTAAAAAAATTACAGAAAATACCGTTTTCGTTTTTACCCTCTAAAACTAACGGCTATCTGAGATTTTATTCTAAAAACGGTTGGAACTAACCGTTGAAAAAGTTGGAACATGCCCAGCCTTAATTACAAGTTTTAAGCTGCTAATTGACAGCTTCTCTTTGTGTAAGGATGCCATGCATATCATGCTGTTTATAAGCTTGGTAGAAATCAAAAGTCTTCTTCATAGTCTTGATATATACGATGACGACTGTATAAAGAGTGTATGAAGAGTGTATACTGGTTTAACTTTAGGTTTTTGATATTGAGCTGGATGCGGGCCTAACTAGACACTCAGGAACTAGAGATAAAATCCAAAATTTTTAATTAATCAGAATTCCACGGGATTCGTTTGATTAAATTTATCATGAAGATTTTGAAAAATTATTTATTTCTAAGTTGGTTTGACCTCCGGGTGTAGTCCAGTTTTTGATTTCAGGATTGAAAACAGGTTTATAATTTAATTTAACGTCGCTGGCAAGTTTTAATTTATTTATTGAAATTATTGTGTTTTTATTACTCATTGTCACGTCTTTGTAAATTTCATTATAGACGTGCTATAGAGTACTCATAGTGCTGTAATGTTAAATTAATTGTATATTAAAGCACGTAAAGTTGCTGTAAAGTTTCAATGGTTCACTCGCTTTTCTATAAAAGATTTAAAAACTTCCTTACATTTTTTTTCAATTGAAATAAAAATTGAAATCTGTTTTTATCTGTTAGTGCCCATCTTCTATTTCAACTTTAGTCATAAAATAGTTATTTTTATTTACAATTGTCTGCCCAATCTTATTTACAATTGTCTGCCCGATCTTATTTCCAATTGTCTGCCCAATCTTATTTACAATTGTCTGCCCGATCTTATTTACAATTGTCTGCCCGATCTTATTTACAATTGTCTGCCCAATCTTATTTACAATTGTCTGCCCGATCTTATTTCCAATTGTCTGCCCAAAATACTTAAGGCAATTGTTGCAACATAAAATGGCAATATGTTTTACTTTTTTCCCAGGGGAGCCAAAACACCAGGACCAAAACCTAGGGCGAAGGCCATTACTCCCAAAGCGCCGAAAGTGAGGTAAAAATTTAATTTTGAAAAAAAAAATTTTTAATTGCCTTTTGATAAACAATGCAAGTTTATTATTTCCCAATTTTTTTTACAGTGGGGTGGGGACTGGGGGGGGATGTTTTGATAATGTACTGCCTGCAATGTTTTGATAATGCACACTTACTGTCTAATAGGAAAATTAAGTAAACTAACTGCTCTGTTATAAGTTTTATCTGAAGAAAACGACAGCTTTTCATTTAAAAAGGCAATAATTGATACATATGACATTAAGGACAACTTTGACTTACCTTTTATTTTTTTATGAAGGCGTTTATCTCAAAGTAAAACCTGGAGTGGAAAAAAAACTTCCTTTAAGGTAAAAACAAGCTTTATGTACTTTATCATGCATGCTTACTACATGGTAAATTTCAATTATGTAAGTAATCATCGTTGTAAAATGTTAAATCATATTAGGGTTTTAAAATGGTTAACATTGCATTCCTTTTTAATTATTTATTGCTTTTGGAGAATCTGATCTTTTAAAGTCCCTCGAAAGTGATTTGGTTCTGTTTGTTTGGTTCAGCTGTTCAGTTTGGCTGTAAAGTTTGGCTGTTCAGTTTGACTGTTCTGTTGAGCTGTTGTTTAGTGTGAGGAAGTGATGGAGTATGCTGTTGATACCTATCTTTGGAAGCGCCAACTTGAACCCAAGTAAATCATTTTAATAATTACAGGTTTAAATGACTAGGTGGAATGTTTTTATTTAACTTTAGCTTGATCTGTGAAAGTGCTAAGTCTCTGCCCAACAAGTGCAAGTGCATGCTGATAGCACATTATGCTCCAAAAGAGTTTTTGACAATATGAAATTACTTGTTCGAAGCAAGAATGAATTGTCTTATTTGTGTAAACAAGTCCAGGGAACTTTTTAATTCAAGGTATATGGCAAGCATTGGTTTAGCAGATGGAACTGATGTTACAGCAGAGACCAGACACACTCTTCTACAATGGTTGTCCAACATTGCCAGGTTGGTTTAATTGGGCTTTCGTTTATTGATTGATTTAATGCATTAAAGTTTTGTATGCAGTGGTATACCTCTAAGGCTTTGTTTGATCATCAACTGGTTAAGATGTTAGTTTATTGACTACATCAAGTTTCAAATGTACTTTTAAACAAAATATTTGATTTTCATCAATTTTTAATAATCTTATAACAGCTATAAGTCTTTAATGAATTGATCATATGTAAAGAAATTTCAGTTCTGTAACAGCAGTCTAAAGGTTTTTGGAAATAATTCAAGTAAAGGAGCATTTTGGTCTGCTTGATTACTTTCTTATTTTAATGATATAAATTGCTCAAAACAACGTTATATTGCATTGCTTGTTGAACTTTTAGGCAGCATGGATTTAGTCTGGAAACTTGGTGTCTTAGTGTTAATTATTTGGACAGATTCCTTGGTGTCCAGGCCATCGACAGAGAGCTGCTTCAGGTTAAAAACAAACAAGAAACACAACAATAACTTGTTGGATGGAAAAAGGTTTGCATACACAAATGACAGTTACTCAGTTCTCTTGCAGGCTGGTGTTTCGAAATTGAAACCAATCACAAGAGCCATGGTTTTTTTTCTTAATAACATGACAGGCCGTTTCAATCTAAAAGTATTTTCTGAACATTAAAAATACTTTTTCAATCTTACAAATCAATATTTTAAGGGGTGCACATCTTCTGTCAGCAAAAATATTTATTGAACTGATTTAGCTCGCAGGAGTTACATCCCTACTTCTTGCTGCAAAACTGGAGGAGCAAAACCCACCAGAGGTTAGACTAAGGTCGTCTTTTGTAGATTTAAGAGGTCAAATCAGTATTTAAACTTGTCCTGTTTTTACGATGGGTAATATTTTTATTTTATTCAAGGTTTGTGGGCTTTAGCACACAAATATAAAAAATAGTACGATAGATATCAGTAAACCTATTTCCAATTCGGTTTCGGAATCTTTTCTATTTTTTGCTTTACCCGCAAGGTTGATTAAGATATAAACCATAGTGACGGACTTATCTTGCTATTAATGCACTTTTGTGTTTATATTCTAATAGATCAAAAGAAGATGGAACGTACTTTTATTTATAAATCAACATAACTTTGAAGTAAAAATATTTGATTTAATTTAAATTTTGTTTATTTAGATATTCAAACTTGTAAAACTGTGTGCTGCTTCATATTCAAATGTTGACTTCAAACATATGGAGGTAAACTTTTACAGTTTACATATAATCTGATGAGGAAATTCGCCAACTTATGAGTTGAGTGGTTGAACAAGGTAATACTGTTTAAATTTCTTTGGTTGAAATTCATTGGTTGTAACATAACTTATGATTTCCCGACATCCTTTTGGAATTCATTAGGAAATAGAGAAAATTAAGCATTTTAGTTTTAAGCATATCACCATATGGTAAGTTGTTTTGAGCATATCACCATATGGTAAGTTGTTTTGAGCATATCACCAAATGGTAAGTTGTTCTACGCATATTGCCCATGGTAAGTTGCTTTGTCCACAGGTACCACCACACAGATGTATATTTATTTTGGGGTTGAAAAAAATGAGTGAATTTCAACTTGCAAGTCTGGCTTTGAATGATATCGGTTGTAAATAGTAATATTGTTGACTGTTGAGATGACATCTTATCGTGATGCCATTGGTCAATAGAATGTTGCAATGCCCTACTGAAATTTCAACCTCTATTTCACTGAAAATAGTCACCTAATGATAGTATGAATGGTATTGTATATTAAGGTAATAATGCTGAGCAAGCTGAACTTTATGCTGCTGGCTCCTACTGCCTCCTTCCTTCTCAACCATCTTGTTCAAGTCAGGGGAGAGAAAGAATGGCCACTTGATCTTTCCAGGTTAAAAAGAATATTTTTTCAGTGCATGATAGTATTGATACTTGTTCTATTTTGTTCCAGGATCAAATCTTGAGCATAAAGTATAAAGTATAAAGTATAAAGTATAAAGTATAAAGTATAAAGTATAAAGTATAAAGTATAAAGTATAAAGTATAAAGTATAAAGTATATACCTACTTGTTACATTTTGCTGGCATAGAGTGTGGCTTTGAATGTTATCGGTTGTAAATAGTGATATTGTTGATTGTTGAGAAGACTTCTTATCGTGCTGCCATTGGTCAATAGAATGTTGCCATGCCCTACTGAAATATCAACCTCTATTTTATTGAAAATAGTCTTCTAATGATAATATTAATGGTATTGTATATTAAGGTAATATTAATAGTATTGTATATTAAGGTAATATTAATAGTATTGTATATTAAGGTAATATTAATGATATTGTATATTAAGGTAATATTAATGGTATTGTATATTAAGGTAATATTAATGGTATTGTATATTAAGGTAATATTAATGGTATTGTATGTTAAGGTAATATTAATGGTATTGCATATTAAGGTGATAATGCTGAGCAAGCTAAACTTTATGCTGCTGGCTCCTACTGCCTCCTTCCTTCTCAACCATCTTGTTCAAGTCAGGGGAGAGAAAGAATGGCCACTTGATCTTTCCAGGTTGAAAAGAATATTTTTTCAGTGCATAATAGTATTGATACTTTTTCTAACTATTTTGTTCCAGGATCAAATCTTGAGCCCCCCCCCCCCCAATATCAGGGGTCACGTTTATCCCACTAGGTCAGGTCATCCCATGGGTCAGTTTATCCTTAACGATCTTTTACTCCCAAACTACAGTGGCAACCATAAAACTGTAAAATAGGAAGACCATTGCAAAGTGTCATGTGAAATGTTGTTGTTAAGCATATTATAGTTTTACCAGTAGCCTTAACATCTACTTTATAAGTAAAATATGTCTCCATTAAGCAATTAACATATTTCATGTTCCTTGGCCTATTTAGAAGTTGAAGTTGAAGTTTTTTTGCTACAGTTTCATGGGTTTAACTGTAGTTCTTTGATTGATTGTGCCCATAAGCTTCATACCTTTAAGATAATTTTGAGTTTAGGCACATTGTTGAGATGTTCTTTTCTATGTTTAGGCACATGGTTGAGATGTGCTTGTGTATGTTTAGGCACATGGTTGAGATGTGCTTGTGTATGTTTGGGCACCTGGTTGAGATGTTCTTTTCTATGTTTACGCACATGGTTGAGATATGCTTGTTTATGTTTAGGCGCATGGTTGAGATGTGCTTGTGTATGTTTAGGCAAATGGTTGAGATGTTCTTCTATATGTTTAGGCACATGGTTGAGATGTGCTTGTGTATGTTTAGGCACATGGTTGAGAT